CGATGCTCACACATTACGGAACTTTCACCTACTGTCACTGCGGAATAATATACAGAACAATGCGAAGGTGAATAACTAAATTGCGTTTAATGTAAGAATTATTATAAGAGTTTTGTATCGCTGAGGAAGGCCTGAAGAGGGCTGAAATGTACGTGTTACCAATGTATTGAAGAATTTTATATTCGAGAAATTAAATTAACCACGCTCAAATTACCGCGTTTTGACTCTGATCGCCTTTTCTAATTACTAATTATTTTAATCTAACAGTCTTATACATTATTGAGTTAAAACGAAATATATTTGTACTGATTTTAGTAAAAGTAACATTATTGCTAAATTGAGAAATTATATCTATTTTGCAATTTGTCAATATTCTTATACATGTTATTATAAAAAACGACTATAATGGTACAATTAAAATGTTTCATGACATTTGATAAGTACCAAAACCATTTGCCCGAAATTAGCCTTTTGCTCTTGATCGATAGTATTAGGCGCGTCAAACAATAAAGGTACGAAAGTTTTCATAAAGTCCGCAGCAGCTTCCTCCGACTGACTGTCAGCCGACAAGCTCGAAGCCCAGGACTGAACGGAGCCCGATGATCCTGAACAATAATAATTTTATATTGCAGTACTTTCATTTGTGACATTCTTATATTTCTTACACACATTCTTATTTAGAAAATTTTTGATTTATAGTTTAAATTATTTTTTAAATAGATATGTAAGACAGATATAAAAATTATAATATCGATACCTGATCTTTGCCACATTCTGCGACCATCCATATTGGAATCCAGACTAGTGCTAGGCCCGTATCCATCTTGATCGCTTGTAGAATCACTGCTGCAAGGCATGTCTAAAATAAAAAAATATCTTATGCCACAAATATACAATATATTTGAGCGTAATCTTCAACACGATTGTAATTAATGTGTCAAGCAATGGTGCGTCACGGGCGACACCTAAACTTGCAGTCGAATCTAATCTAATGATTTGTCGGACAAAAATAAACACAAGGACAAGGAGATAAAAATTGACTAAACTATGCAACTAAAGTGACCGTCACTCTTGCATATTCCAGCTAGTTCCAAATTAATATTCGACAGAACACAAAAAAACCATAAATAGATAAATCCGGAATAAAATTAAAAAGCGTGTCTATGATATACATATACTAAAATTATATTTGAATCAAACCAATCAATATCCTCTTTTTTATACATGTTAAAATAAATATAATCAGACAGTTCGTTAATTTTAATGCACTATTGTAACGAATTTTATGCAAATAAATTGTATTTTATGCTAGAGTTACTTGCCTAGAGCTATTGTTCGTATCCCAATGACGTTTACCACAATCACTTGTTGGTTGGTTAACGTTATGAAATTTTTCAAAGTAAATCTAAAGTACAGCGAGGCACATTCGCGAATGACTACTCGTTGTTATATGTGTGATACCGAAAGTTACATATTTACATCCGCGATATTACTTAACTGTCGACACATCCTTGTGAAGTATCGCTCAATGTTACGGAAATAATTGAAGCATCCAGTGGATGATAAGTATAACTATTTATCGCGAATGTTACCGTACGCAACGGAATTTTTCCCACCCACGTATAAAACGGTTCTTCAATCGAACTATGAATGCAATCGGGGTGCAATAGGCGGTTCGTGTGAAAGTATGCACACATATACACAGGTAACAACATCTTTACCAAAGGGATGCAATGTCTGGCGAGAAACTACAAGTATGACGTGTTCGAATATACAAGTGCCGAATTTATATATAACACGTCTAAAAAAAATAATTAATAAAATAACAAAACTAAAACGCTAATATTTAATTATATTCTTTCTACGGTAAAAGTCATTCTAACTTATTAAAAAATATATATAAAATAAAACAGTACGTGACTTTTAATATAAATTTTATAATTTGAATATACAATTTTGACTACATCTTTGTGCAGTTCTAATTCTGAAGAAATAAAGATAAAATACTTTAGGTACTAATCTCTTTTTAATATTATGATTTTATTTGTTTGTACAAATTTTATCTCTTATTTTGTTGATCTTATTATTATTAATCTTATCTTATTAATCGTATCTTATTATTATTAAGATATATAAATTTAAGATGCATTTATTTACTCTCTTAATGTTCATTATTTATGATAAAAAAAATTATATAGATAGATAAACCCGAAATAAAAAATTGCATAGAAAGCATGGATATATTATAATATACACTAAAATTATATCAAATTAAAATATATAATATTTTCTAAAAGTAAATGTGATAAAATTACAAAATTTGGCAAAATTAAAATCTTATTTTCCATTTATGTCTTGTATAATTTAAATAGTGCGAAAGAGAGTAAAGCAAATTAGATTCTGATCTATTTAAACATCTTGAAGCATCATGAAACGTTTAATTACGAAAATCAATATAGGTACCTCCAGGTCAAACCTCGACGTAATCGACCCACGGATATTCGAACACCGGGTTACGCGAACATATCGATTTGCACTAGTATTCGCTAATCACATCTAGCTGAGGAAGAGGGGTCAGAAACTTGGGCATGTGTTAAGATATACAATATAGCTTCTAAGTACCGAGACTTTGTTTAGATAATGTGTAATTCGAACATTGATAATTAATTTTGCATTAACTACGCGCATATGTACATCAATACTTGAAAAAAAATTTAATTGAACGCAACTGAATATGATGTCGTTAGTATTTCATTAAAAACGTCATAACCGTTTATAAAATGTAAAAAAAATGTTTTACATTTTATTAAAAAAAAATAGTTTATGAATTCTTATAAAACGTACTGATTAGTTGCATTAATCGTTTACTTTTTCCCCATATATCAAAACCTTACCATATATAAAACAATACTGTATATTATTTTTTATCAAAGTATTAAGTAATATATTGCAATGGATACTTCACACGAGCACATAATTGTAAACATGTAAAAGTCTCGATATTTTAAGCCAAAGCATCCCTACGTGTAATACACTGAAGGGACACGCGGGTGAGATCACAGGGGCAGTCCACACTGACTGGCTGTTACATTTACCTAAACGGAAAACAACCGTCTGATAGCGGGTCGGCGCCCTCGCTTCGTGAAAAGAGAGAAGAACACAGCATATTATTTCCATCCGAGTCTCGATAACTGCATGATCGCGACAACCGCGAGCGAGAGAAAAGAGATAGAGGCAATCGTCGTCGAAGACGAAGAGGAGTCATTGACTTCGACTCGTTCGACGTCTGCCGCGGGATAATTGGAGGCGGAAGCTAATCACCTGCTTTGTAATTCAATTTCTCGTAAGGATCGGGCCCGGTCGCTTTGATGTCCTGCTCCTGAATAGGCTCTATACTTTCCTGGCTGTCGCGGTCGGGACTGATGTCGTCCTGCTCTCCTGTTCGGCTCTCCTGTTTCTTGCTTGAAACCGATCTAGAGGACGCTATCTCCTCGTAGGTCATCCCAGGCGGATACTTTCGCGTTCTGGACAGATTGGCGCTACCCTGCCGTTCCAATTTGTGCCGCGCTATTGCCTCATAATCCTCGTAGGATAATCCTGCGCCAAATCTACGCAGTGAAATATTGCGTGTCGCAGCGCGAATATTCATGAGTAGTAAACATTACAATATTATCCGTTGTTAGCAAGTGGAAATTCATACAGCTATAGTGCATAGGACACGTTATTAGCTTGCTAATAGTTGCGCATACAATTACAATTTATACTTCAAGAAAATTATACGGTTGTATATCATGTATCGGCTACCAAATATTGATATAATAAATTATATATATAAAAAATAAAATTAATAAAATTAAAATTATTTAATAAAAAATAAAAAAAATGTAATAAAAATAAAATTAATATGACTTTAAAATTTTTATTTATATATTATGTATATTTTGGATATAATTTTTCTGGATATAAATATTATCTGTAAAATCTACGGAAAATATGTATATTTATGATAATAAATTAGAAGAGATGTATAAATGAAAATTATTCACGCATATTTTAATAACACAAAGATTTATTTTAACCACAAATGAGATTATTGGTTTACATTATGCTTTTAAGGCTTTCACGGGTATTCTCGTTAGAATTGCTAAAAGGTTTGCAGGTTTACTCTGCATCTTGATTCATTAATGCCAATGTTTCGTGAACAATGATGTTCATTTTATCAGGGTAAGAAGAGTATCAGATTGTTCCTCTCCCCGATAGAATGAACAGCATTGTTCACGAAACGTTAGTTTAGAAAGACATTGAAAATATTAGACTTTTATCTTGTTGAATAATATTGTCAAGTTTACAGTTTCAACATCTACGATTTCAACGTGGTACCTACATGACCTAATTGTTATAAGGCATTCAAGATAACAAAACGTTTGCTTACCTCGGAAGCCTGAGTTTCCGCCTTCCTAATTGCTCTTCTGGCTTGATAGGCTGCGGTGGTGCTTGCGGCGATGATGACGGCGTGGAAGGGGTTGTAGTCAGTTCGCTTTCCTCTAAGCTACTGCTAAGAGCGGATCCTATTCTATTCCCTAGGCCTTGAAGATACTCCCCGCTTCCTCCTAGAGCGGATCGCACAGACCTAAGAGCACCTCTGGTACGTCCAATTAACGACGCCCCTCCATTGGATGGCAAAGCTGTTGTGACGTCTACCATATCCTGGAACAAACACGTGGATCACAATTAATCCGTGAAAGCCCGTATTTTCAAGAATTATTAATTTAGTAGTGCTACCAATACTGAGCACGTCTCGTACCTAGATAACAAATTTGTATAATCACTTCGTATAAATCAATTAATATGTGAAAATAATAATATTCAAGAGACGTAAATGTAAAAAAAGTAAAATTAAAGTGTTGCATTCAACAAATGGCAAAAATTGATGTGCGTATTTGAAAATACAAATATTTACCATATGTTTGCAATTTTAATTAAAGCAACAAGTGTTTTATGACGCAAGTGGATTAAGAGAATATGGAATTAACTCTCCAAATTAATATGTAGCTTTTGAAGGCTTAATTTTTACTTTTTCAATATCTTAAAAAATATTGTATGTAGAAACTTTTGCTCTTATAAAAGTGCAAAAACGGAAAATATATAATGTAATTTAAAAATTATTTTAAAGAATAAAAGTTATATAATATTCGTACGAATTCTTATAATTTATTTTTATAAAGCAATTTCTGCGCTTTTAAATAATAAATAAGTAAGATCAATAAATTCTAGTATAACATTTTGACATAAAATATTTCATAAATTTAGAATAAAATATATTAAAAATAAAATACTAAAAATAATATACGCACTAATAGTAGCTTTTTATTTTTACTATTTAAAGACTTTCGAAATATATATAAATTGAATCATGTTACCGAATCACTAAGTTATCAATTAAATTTAATAGCAATGAATTAATTTTATTCGCGTTACGAAAATAAGAAAAAATTCTAATAATCAGATCTTATTCGACAGACCTCGTTTGAATACCGATCATGAAAGAGTTTCTAATTTGCTGATGTAGTTTGCACCGGATTCCGGTTACACATTCCAACGTTTCAGCAAAGTAATTTGCGAAACTTGCGACCTATCTCGTCGGTTGTAGGCTCAATATAATTCCTGCGAAACGAATAAGACTGAAAGTAAATCTCAGATAAGAGACGTAAGCTTCATTTCCGATGTATATAGGCCACTAGCGACCACCTACTCATCTATGCACACGTGGACGCTATGCGTAAAACGATAACTCTGGGAATTGTAGCAAAAAAGGGAGTGCAAAAAAAGCGACTATTACGACTGTGATATTAAAATTTCAAGGCTATCAAAGCTATTTAAAATCATATCATTTTTTAACCATAAAAGAATTAGAAAATATTTAGAATTATAAAAAACAAAAACAAATTATTTATGTAAAAAAACAAATAACAATTTGCATAGCGTACAATTTATTATCACAAGTAACTGATTAATGATATGAAGTCTTCTGTATCGCCATATGAAAAGCTTAACGTCATTAGTTACTTGCTGTATATAATTATCATTAATTATTTTAAAAATATTTTATTTATTTATTTTATTTTTACGCTGACTCTATTACTGTAAAACTCTGTTACGGTAATTTCTTCTGTAGAAAATCACCTAGTATTGCGTATTTGAAAATAATACATCAATAAGGATAAGTTTATCGATTGATTTGCAACATAATCACAATAAATCTAATAATGTGTTTTGCGCTCGTTTATCCAATCACATACAACACTATATTGCATGTGACCTTTTGCATTTATACTTTACACCAAAAAGAAGAACGTGCGACATATCACATAGGAAAGGGCATTCCATTTATATCGTGCTCCACTTCTTTTGCTGACGAGGAGTTTTTAAAACGATTTATTTATTCCGAGAGTTTCCGGAAAAAGGTATCGCGAATATATAGATACGCGCTTTATAAACAGACAATAACTTCTATTCGATGCTGCATAAAACACATTTTTTCCTTCAATGTCTGTTGATAAAAAAAAGAATAATAAAGCGAGTGTTAAACTAACAAAAATAAGGTCATGAAAATCGGATATCTAAGCCGTCGTCTGTTATTGACTGAATATGTTAGACTGAATAGAATTTTATAATTGGCTTACGTTGTGACCGCAAATGATATAAAATCAACACGGATATCCTTTATACAGTCCATTCTTAACCACTGCGTACGAATTTTTGGTAGAACCCATTTACTTTATTCCGGCTGTTTGTAGGGATTTTACTTCTACATAATTATTATACAGCAATAATTAATCATTTAAAGTAACAATGCGCCTAAAAAGATATGATTTTTACATAATAAAAGTTTAATTTACATCTTAATTGTAGAATTGCTTGAATTGATGTAATTAAATAATTTTGACAAACAAAAGGTTTTAGTATTATATATATATAGATAACTAAATCATTAATTATTAAATTGAATAATACCGGATTGAAAAATTGCAATTAATTCAAATTTTATAGAAATTTTTTTCGAAATCTGTTCTTTTTTTTAATAACTAATAAATATTATGTAGTTATAAATTTTAAAGTTAAACTTTAGATAAATTTAATTCCATGAAAATCTATTCAATTTTCAAGAAAATTTGTTTTAATTAAAAAAATACGTATGTTCATTATTAATTATTTAATTAATATTGATTCTCAACTATGTGAATATGTGTACACAGATTTATCTTTCATTTATTCATTATTATCTAAATATTCTGTTACAAAATTTATTACTTGGTTGATGTTTGATTTTAGTATATGTATATAATATTATACATATTTTATTATTACATCAATTAATAAAGTTCAATATAATGGAAATACTTATTAAAAAATACGCAATAAAAAACCGCCAGATTTTATTATACAAAACCGTAAATATAATTCTTTTTAGTGTTTAAAAATAGATCATTAGATAGATCATTAGATTGCGTCCACATGTCTACGGCAAGTTCGACGCCGCGAGAATTTTTGATTAATGTGGGCGATGCGAGGCCGAAAGCATGTAATATCCATTGGGAATTCTGTGTCAAAGATATATCTCAATACTCGAAATATAATCATTGAACCAAAAATTCTTTAATATAAAAAAATAACTTATAATATAAAGTAAATATAAAGTAATTTAAAATATTAAGTTTATAATACAAACTGTTTAGAAATTTATCTTATTGTAAATTAAATATTTTCTTCCGAGCATCAATTCTTAAATAAAATCTATCCGATAATAAAATATTAAAACAAGTAGCAGAAAATAAAGCCAAATTACTATTCAAAGCAGTATAACTAGAAAATTATAAAAATCTATTAATTTAAATTACAAATCTTCTTGTAACTTATTAAGACATATGCAATAGGCATAATGTAGTACAATTCTATTTTAATAACGAATAACTTATTGTGTTCACCAGTGGAGTTATTTACTACTGATGATAATACATTGAATAATTTCTCGATAGTGTTAGATTAGATACATATTAACGCGCGTTATACTAAGAAATATAAAATTTTATATCAGTAACATAAAGTTTGTATGTATAATAAAAGGAGCAATACAACCGACATACAAACAGGACATACAAGGACCGACATACAAACAGCAAATGGCCGTTTGAAAAAATACCGTATAAGAAATTCATTATATTAAACTAACGGATCATGCGGGAACGATATCGGACAGCGTGTCGACGATTGTATTTCACAGTGGAACACAACTGCAATGCAGCGTTATCTATATGCAGTTCCGCGCTATGCGGGACATGCGGACATGCTAATGCACGAGAAGAAGAAAGAGAAAGAGAAGAGAGGAAAAAAGAGATGTTTCCTTGGCGCATTCGTGAACACAGCGACAAATCAAAAATACGAATTGTAGATGAAATTAGTGTTGGAAAATACAATTTGTCACTCGGAAACATAGTGAAACGATGAATGCATTGGGTTAAAATAACGTAACATAATTGCACTCAAACAGAACAGACGTGTGTCTGGCAAGCACACATACATTATTAACGCAAAATATTATCCAATACATTTCGCATGCAAAATTAATGTCGCAAATGCGTCAAGCGAGAAATACAAATAACACGGCTTATTATTAGTACATATTACGATAGTAAATTTGCATGTTGAAGCTGTACGACGGTATTTGTCAAAACTCATGCTAGAATTTCCATTGCTTTGAAATATTTTAAATACAATTTTTTAGCGCAACTTTTAAACTTTTCCGGTTCTTAAGAAACCGTGTTTTTCATTCTGAATATTAATTTGAATGTTTGCATTACGAGTGTGAAAACTGTGTAAAATTGTAATTGTTATAAAAAGGAACACTTACATAATTCCATTCAATTCCTTTCAAAAGAATATTATTTATGCTCAACAGATTGTTATTATATATTAATAGTAATTAACAAATGTTGTTAGGTAATTTAAACATTAGTAATCAAATCATATTGATTAGTAATCAAATCATATTAATGCTTAAATATTTATTAATTGTTAAATTATTATAAATGCGAAACAATTTAATCATTATTTTCACTCATCAAATATTGTGATAATGTTATAACAAACGAAAGCGGAAAGGATTAAAAAGTATAAAACACAAACTAAAAATTGTAACACAAATATTAAATCGACTTTCAACGTGTCACACATTGTCGATTCTGTTAGTAAAATACAATTTAGAGTAAAATACAATTTTTATATACGCAATTTGCACATTCAATGTGAAAATCGCGTGTATACATATGTCGCATCCATATCGAATATATCACAAAACATATATCACAAGAATCGTCAATGTTATTCAAGTTACTATAAAAACATTAATTAAAAATATTCAAAATAATTGACAATCTATATTACAAATCATAACACGTACAGTTGCGTAAGCGTAGCAAAAATTTGAGCTAAAATTTGTAGTTAAAAGACATGCGATATTTTATTATTACATTAATTTTAATCATTCTACAAGTACAATAAAAAAACCGTGCAGATATTGAAAATTTCAAAAATGTACTCACATGTTTAAAAAAAAAATATTAAAAATGAAATAGTAAATAATCGAACTTGGCTTAATTAAGGAATTGTACTAATTACGGTTTCAAACTTTTATAAATAAAAATTGTAGTTAAAAAACATACAATGTCTTATTATTACACTAATAATTCGTATACAATAAAATAAAAAGAATATGCAAAAGCTAAAAGATTCAAAAGTACATTCACATGCTCGAAAAAAAAAACTACTAAAATAATTATTAAAAATGAAATATTAAATAACTGAATTTGGTATTCAAATGAGTTTCGCTAATTACAGTCCTAAACTTTTATAAATATTTCTTTAAAAAAATTAAAAGTAAAATAATATTAAGTAAAGAACACTAAAAAAAGGCCGAGAATAGTAATTTGCAAGTAACGCAAACACAGTTATCAAAACAAATGACACTCTGTCGTCCTGTAAATTACGTTTTATCGGTCAAAATAAAAAATATCCCGATGGTAAATTCCATACTCATACCAAAAATCATTTTGAAAAGTTATTATAAGAAACAATATAGTTGGATAAAAAGTAAAACCAGTCAATGTCCATTTGTTGAAGCATATTGCGAGCTAATACATTGAGTTTCGACATACTGTTCGAATTAAATACCGTGTAGAAATGAAACTCCGGATCAAAGACGATCACTGTCACCTTCGTTGAATGTTCGTATAAACACGTGCAACACTGCTCTTGACATACTACTATGGACTTGCACTATCGCGAGTTTTGCAGCTACCTCGGGATCCATTGGCACGTAACGTTACATTACCCCTCCAGTATGCGATCGGATTAATGAAGGCGCATGCGTTTATCGCGATCAATACAACGTCTCGATTTACCGGCACGTTGATTAATTCCAGTCGTGGAAAAATTCGCCACCGTAACACCGTGTGTATACTGGCAGTCGATACTATGCCAGCTAACAATAAACTATATCCGATAAAATAAATTTAATATATTATACATCTAGTTAAATGACTATAATTAGATGTGATTTAATAAAATACGCTTTATTCAAAGACTTTTATCATGTGGATAAAATAATAAGTGAGTTTTTTATTATTTAACTATAAACATTTTAGCGTTAAATATACGGAGTAACTAAATAATCTAAATTTTATTAAAATAATTTTTTTAGTCACAATACACAGACGACTCAATCGCGACCTATTAATTAAGTGACAGATCGAAGTCCTTTGTACATGATTCAGTAGCTCTATCAAATATCAGTGCCAATAAAAGCTTTTCTTTTTTGGAAAATCTATATTATGAATAAATTGATGATGCTATAAAATCGTGTGCATTATCGTAGTTATTAGTTAGCGCTATTCAATAGAATTACTGAATCGTGTACAACGTACAGCAACTTTAATCCATCACTTAGCGGCGCAATAATTGAGTCATATCAATTGAGTCATTTTATGCTAAAATCCAGATCTTGTATTTATATTTACATTAAGGTAAATATTTAATATATATGTAATAAATATTTAACATTATATTAACAAATCAATAAAATAGAACAGTAACGCGAAACAGAATTTCAGATTTCGTAGAAGTTAATGAAGACAAACGTTATAACATACACGAATTATGAGAAATTAAATGAAAAAAAATGTAATTATATTACATAATATGCTAAAAGTGTATAGGTTAATTTTTTTATAAAAATTTCTATGGTTACTTAAGTTATTTATTTCTTTTTATTGCAAGAAAAGTCACAATTCACAAGTGCAGTATTTTCTATAAAATATAGATATTTTGAAAACAATGTATTTATATGGTCGTGTATACTACAGCAGCTTTCGCAGGTAGAGATATCGCATTCACATCGACTATCTTCCTAGATATAAAAGAACACAAATGTGAATTATTACATTATAAATTTATATAGAGCATTTTCTTTTAATATTACTAAATAAAATATTTTTAATAATAATTTCTTAGAAAAATCTATAGACAATTTTTTTGTTGAAGACAGTTGAACAATTATTTTTGTAGAATAGTTGCAACTTTAAATAAACAATTTCTATGGAAATAATTAATTAAATAACAAAAATTATTTTTCTTATTAAAAGCAATTGAATGTTTCTGTAATTAGATATCTTTAATAAGATATAATATAAAATATTTTAAATTTGATTAAAAAATTATCAATAAAATTAATGTTGACAGAACGCTCTTTAAAAATTCATGATTAATTTGCAGTTATATTAAATAAAGAATTATATTGTTAAATTAGTTATTTATACGTAGAAAATTTCAAAAATGCCGTACCCATGTTTCACTCTAGAGCCCATACTAGAAACTTTGACCATTAATTTCGAAGGAAATCCTTCTTGTGCCAAATTGACAACTTGTTGTTCATCATCATTGAAGTTAATTAGAAGCACCACGACGCGGCAACCATTGTTTCGGATTATACCTAAAACATTGTTATTGTTGGTCGTGATCGATTTATAACTTCCTTCGGTAAGGGCCGGTTCTGAACGGTGCATGTT